TTTTTTTTTTTTTTTTTTTGAGACAGGATCTCACTCTGTGTCTCTGGCTGTCCAGGAACTTTCTGATATGCCTGCCTCTGCCTTGCAAGTGCTAGGATAATGGCTGCTATAATTTTTGGTTCCTTGCATTTTTGTTGGGTCTAGGGATTTTCTGTGGTCAAAGAATTCTATTTATTTCTGCTCACTATGACATTATACACCTTGTCCATGTTTTGCAGCATAGGTTTTGTCTTTTTAAGATTATATGTTTATGAGTATATGCCAGAATGCATGTATGTGCCACATAGGCATTAGATCCCCTGGAACTAGAGTTAGTTTCTGGCCTCCATGTGGTTGTTGAGAACTGAATCCAGATCACTTGCAAAAGCATCAAAGGATCTTAACCCATTAGCCTCTCCAACCATGTGATGTTGTGGGGTATCCACCAGAGAAGAGTTCTTGGACATAGGTTTAAGGAAATAGAAAGTCTTTATTAGCTAGCCAGTGACTACATTGGGTATTCAGGATCCCAATGTACTATTGAGCCTTTCTCAGAGTGAGCTTTTAAACATAAAAACCATATTCTGGGTTTTTCTACTTCAGTTAACAAGAACAGTTAGCCAGAAATGGAACTACAGAAGCCAAAAACAATGTTAGTACATGCAGAGACTTTCCCAGCACTATGGACTTTCATGGGTTAGATCTTTGTTTTCATTTTTACAGGTTGTGCTGTCTGTGTGCTGAGCTTTATGGCCTAAATGGTACTTCCATAATCGAGTCAATTGTGGTAAGAGCTCGGGGCCTTCTAAAATTTGAGGGTTTGTTACATTCCTTACTGGTCTCTGAGCCTGGGAAGCAGTGGGAATGGTCTTCTAAACATAATCTCATAGAGTATGAATCCCTCCCTATATAGGGTGCAGAGGGTCCAAAGCTAAACAAAGGAAGGAGGTTTATCTTTACTTTGCTGGACTCTAATGAGAGGTTTGTTAGAGTTTCTTTTAATGTCCTCCTCACAACTCTGAGGTCTAGATGTATAATGAAGTTTCCAGTCTATCCCTAAAGTTTTTACTATTAATTGAGAGGTTTTAGCTATGAAAACTAGGACTTTACTGGACCTCAATGCTAGAGGGAGGCTAAATCAGGAGACCAGTTTCTGGAGTAGCTTTTAAACTACTATTTGAGGAGTTTCAGTCCAAGTTGGGAAAGTTTCTTCACAGCTCAAAAAGGTATCTATAAAAACTAGGAAATACTTTTATTCCTCCTCCACCTCCCCTTATCCTCCATGGAGTCAGTTTTCCCAAAGTTTGCCTGGGTGTTAGTCTCTCATTCAGAAATCCTTCTGGGTAAAGGCTCTCAGTTTTAGGATTTACTTGAGCACAAACCTGGCATCTGACTGAGATACCCTGTGCTAGGCTGTCCAGTCAAGGTATAACATACCTTAGTTTGAACAATTCGCAAAATTGTGTGGACCCCAGATGAATAGCCTGATGAAGGTCAGTTACCAGAGCCTTACCAGTTGTTTCTGGGACAATGATCTTTCCCACTTATGTCCTTCATCAAATAGTGGGTTTGAGTTATCCATTTTTTCTTTACCATGGAGTCTCAGGCAGCAGTGGGTTGTGTTATCTCACCAGAATATCCATAGGCCCCACTTGTCTTAGGGCAGCTAGTTCAGCAGCCTGGC